CAATTATAATTTTAAAATCGCATAGTAAACGCCATAGCGAAGCCGGCCGGAAACGTCTCAAGCGCTACATGGAAAAAGATATGAGCTACGGGGAAACTGTGGGGAGCTACAGAAAGAACACATTGGATCGCCACGGAGAGAGAAACTGNCAAGCGCTACATGGAAAAAGATATGAGCTACGGGGAAACTGTGGGGAGCTACAGAAAGAACACATTGGATCGCCACGGAGAGAGAAACTGGCTAAAAATACGAGTCCGATCGGATAGTTTCACTCTGCCGGAATGCGCCGCAAAGGAGGTGCCCACGTCAACTGACGCAAAGTGGGAAACACTTTGTGTCAAAAAAGCTGCCTAGTCTTTAAATTTTCATCCAATTCGATAATTTTTGTTTTTAATACNACTGGCTAAAAATACGAGTCCGATCGGATAGTTTCACTCTGCCGGAATGCGCCACAAAGGAGGTCCCCACGTCAACTGACGCACAGTGGGAAACACTTTGTGTCAAAAAAGCTGCCTAGTCTTTAAATTTTCATCCAATTCGATAATTTTTGTTTTTAATATTATTTACAGGAAGTACATCGCGTTTTTCTAATAGTCGCAAAACATTTCATAAAGGTTAGCCCAAATTGCCTCACAGCACAACACATTCCACGGTTGTAGCTTTTCAAAGCTTCCAATACAATCTTTTATTTCAGCCCGCACTGGATGAAATATTTAATCTAGTCGTCTCTTTCCCATATAGGTATTGCCCTCAAGCTAATTTTGAAGTGAAGTAAGTTATATGTCTAATCGATTAGAGAGCCTCCAAAGCCTCCTTCTTGGCTTCTTGCAACGGCACCACTGGTCAGAAAAGTGTAACGTAGCATTTGCTACCCAATACCCTGATACGCCCACCGAATACCTCAAATTTACCTCCATAATCTACAGGCGAACAATAGGCACGAATCAAATATTCGCACTAGGCCTTTCACTGTTGATAAGAACCAGAGTGCGATTCTCTAGTGCATCCGCTACCAGTAATCTTAGCCTTTCTAGAAGCCAGACGGAGGTCTACTGGTGTGCTTACCGGCTGTCCACTGATACCGACACCAGTTAACGGCGAGAGTAACTGCTTTCCTGCCAACAGCGATTTCGATCACTTGTCGGCAGCGTTGGTCGCCAGTCTCACGGGCATCGCTCGATATGTCAGCCCACCGGCCGGCGCACAGCGGTGTTCGACGTTGATACACGGGAGTAAAGCGTCTTAGTTGATGAGGAGGGGTGGGACCTCAGAAAGACCAAATCTACCTCAAAAAAGGCAAGAGACTAAGTTGCTGAAAGATAAAACGAAGGTGGTGAAAGGGATGCAGAACGAATCGAAGTCATAAACGGAAACGGATTATTTATTGCTCAACAAAACTGTGATAGATGAAACATCCAAGTAAGCCCAGCTTAAAATGAAGGCAGCTTGAAATGGAGTAACAACACTGGACAACAACGTCCCATAAAAATATCTGACGTATTTCCTAAATGTAACATGGCATTTTTTGTTACTAAAGATTTGCGCACTAAAATGAAACGTGACCTAAGAACGTATCTTGCCTCCATATTGCCCACACCTCAAGATTGGGAAAATGTTCTGACCGCCTGTAAACGCGAGGGATTTGGATCATCGAGTGTTTGAAGTACATACCATAACTGGGGTCCCAGTCTGGGGAAACCTGACAGAAGAAGGCACCTTGCAGTAATATTTGTGGTACCTCTTGTATGTAAGAGCGATCAGACCGGCCACAAACGCCTCGCACTTCACTTGATTTCAGACCATCTATCAAGCCATAATGGTACTTGCAGTGATAGAGTAAATTGCGCTGCATGCCGCTACATGTTAGGATCCGGGTTTAGTTTCAGATCAGCATTCTACCGTTAATTAAGACTTGTGTTTGATACCAGGTATGATACCAAAAGTTTTCTCTAGTAGTAATCGCCACAACATCCAAAATATTTTTATCAGCCAAAGCTTCCGCTGATCTAGTCGCAGCTAGGCTAATAGGCGTGCGTTTTATGTTCATCTTCATCTATGAACATCGCATTTTTAAGAAGCTTAGATTTCATTACTGCGTACCGATGCTGACCCCCCAGTGGATCCTTTACCTCACACAGAGACAGATGAGCTGGAAAGTAAGGGTACTCACTCTTGAGAAATGATCGTCGAGTAACGAAATAGGGGTGGCTTTCTCTGCCTGCATAGGGCTGCTTCTGGGTGGAATGCGAGTGGAGATTGTTCTGGCGACGCGTTTCCAGACGGCGCACAGTGGTCGGAGAGTGCCAATTTCGAAATATGTGGAAATAGCCAACTACGTGTTTGACTCAATTCTAAACATATCTACTAGTTAACAGGTTTTAAGGATTTTTCCATAGAACAACTACTCTAGAAATTATCAAAGGACACAGGAAGTCGGTGTTGTATGAATAGAATTTTTACGTAAGAATTTGAATACGACTTTACCGAAAATGGTAGTTGAATGATCTATTGAAACTGAATTTGCCTTCATCTTCAATAAGTCTGTTCCAATAGCAGTCCGGTTTACAGGAATTAGTCAGAACTTACAGGAAGTAGTTCCTATTGACATAAAACCTGTAAGTGGGAACACTTGTGAGAGAATTTTATGTAAGTGTAACTCAAAATCAAGTCCTCACAATTTTACCTAATCCTTACCGAGTTAAGGACATTTCTGTGATATTATGCATTTTTAGTGTTTTTATGGGCAGTATAAGTAGTTTGCGGTGCCGAGCGTCGGAGGATGATTGATACAAAAATACTTTGTACACTTTGTACACTCTGAAATATAGTGATAAAACTGTGCGAGAGTCAATTTTACACACGAAAAAATCAATATATTCACAAAACTGGGGGTCAAATATAGTAAAACTGCGCTTTTAGTTTTTCTCTCTGATGTCAGAATTTTTTTTTAATGACTTTGAAATTTCTAGAATGTGATTGAATAAAAAAATTATTCAAAGGATTCGAAGAATTCTGTAGAATAGAAAAAAAATTCAATTTTTGGGTGCACCGGGACGAATAAGTATTGAAAATGTTTTTTTCAAATTTTATCTTTGAATATCCTTGGAAATTTGTTTTTGTTATTTTATGGCCTTATAACAATTATATTCAAGAATTTTTATTGAGCTTGATGCCGTTTTTTAATGAAAACTTATTGTGGAAAAGCAACAATAATTTGAAAAATGGTAGAACTGATAGCTATTTCGGAAATCACCACATTTCCTAATCAGACTTCTTTCAGTAGGATTCGAACCGACGATCCGACGAGTCAGTGTCGACGAGTCTTTATAAGATTTTGATAGTTACAATATACATAAATGAAGATACTGGCATCATTATTATGGAACCATGTATGCGCTCTAAAAGAACAAACTGACCGTATGATGTAGAGTTTAATTACTTTAATTGTTTTGTATACAAGGGCGTAGCCAGCCTTTCACCTAGGGGGCCGGAGTTTATATAGAGGGAAAAAATGTTTTTAATTTACTTAATTTTTTTTTTTTTGTATATAAATAGAAATTTTTGGGTTTAGAAAAGTGTAAGTTTTCTGGTGTCTTTTACACCGATACCAATTTTTAAAAAATCGGTTTGTAATTTTTTTTTTTATAAAAAAGTTTATTTTTGCTTTCTAAGTGTTTTTTCTTAATTTTTATATACAAAGTATACAAATATGCATACCAGAAGACAAGGGGGTTTAATCGCCTTTACCATATATTTTTAAAAATCGGTTAGTATTTTTTTTTATAAAAAAAGGTATTGTCCCTTTTAAGTGTTTTTCTCAATTTTTTTTTAATACGGAGTTATACAAATACGCATATCAGAAGAAAGAAGTTTTGATAGCGTTTACAGCGATATACATTTTTTAAAAAATCGGAAATTAATTTTTTGTGTAAAATATTTTTTTTTTATAATATTATTTTTAAAAATGTATTAATGTTTCGTTTTAAATTTTTTACATAAAGCAATCATAAGTATATATGAGCGTGATTGTTATTCAATATTCTGAAAATGTAAATTTTTCCAGATAGTAAACCACGTAACTTTCCATACAAGCTTGACACTTTGGAACGTTGCAATGGAGAAGTGATTACTGCGAAGGTGATCAATGGAGAGCAACATTACAGAAAGTTGCATTTATTCCATTATTTTTTATTTTTGTTTTCAAGACTATTAGAAAAAAATCGACATGACAAATTTTTTAATTAGTCAAATTCATTTTCAAAATTGTTTGAAATATAAGGTTTTTTTATATTGAAGACCCGAACTTTGACCCCTTATAGCACCTGTAATATAAGTTTGCACAAAAAAAGTTATATACCATTTAAATATTCGAATTCGATTGGCTGGCGGGTGTGTCAGTTCACCAATTTTTTCCGTCTTTCTGATTTATGTCTTCTTAGCTTAATCTAAGTAACAAATCGAATTTCATTGAAATCGGATAAAATTTACCATATCCGCCTCCTAGTGTAGTGGGCGTGGCAGCCCGCTAAATTCAACCATTTTTCATATTTATTCATTCCTAGGCTCCTAGTACTCCACATTACTTCTTGCCACATTTTATATGGAGCTCTCATCACCTCATCAGAAACTTGGTGTAGGGTTCAATACTTAATTCCTAGAATCTGGGGCCAGTTTTTGACCTAATTTTATCTTCATTTCTAACACCAAACAACTCAACAAAGTCAACTCGCGCAAGAGACTACACTATCCTCGGGAATATTCAAAGCACTTTCGATTCGCATTTAGCATTACACAAATTTTCTGTTAATTAATTGTCAAGCATGTTTGCTATGCCATAATATTTAGTGGCAAAGAAAAAAAGTAATAACATTAACACGAAACAACAAAAACGTGTTGTTAGAGCATGAGAATTTCAGCACGTTGTTGCAATTAAAATACTCCAACATCACTACTACTGCTGTTCTAAATACAAGCTCCGCACGCGATCGTCTTGCACTTACCTGTGGCAGCTGCAGTAGGCAGCAATGTTGTTGTAGCCGCTAAAGTTGTTGTCGCATTGCATGCTTTCTTGTGCTTTACCAGCGGCAATGTATAAAGGTTTAGCAATTCTGCATTTGCACGCTGTTGCTGTTGCTGTTGCTGTTGCTGCTGCTTCTTTTGCTTTTTCAAAACCAACTCCGCGTCATCGGGCGTTTTTGTCACTTCAACGGCCTTCGTCGCAGTCGTTACAGTGGCTTTAGTATGAGTGTCAACAGTGACGGTTGGCTGGCATGCAACAGTCGCTGTATTCGCATTCTTTGGTTTGGATTGTTGCAATAATGCAGCAGCGCTGCAACAAAAAACATAAAAAAGAAAACAAAATTTAAGCATTTTTCTTGTTGCATTTCGCATTATTTAGTGCATAGCTGAAGCGCATGAAATCCGAAACTCACCTAATCGCTTGCTGGTATTGACAAAAGAAATCCGGACGTATGCGATGCCGACGCAGGAAATTATCGCAAACAACGCGCATCACATCCGGATTGGCCGTCAAACGCACGCGTACGCCACTATCGCTACCATTGGCGCTGTGGCTATCGCTGCTGCTGATGCTAACGCTGAGGCTGTGACATTGAGCCGCTTCGGCGTCGCTTGCCCTTGACTGGGGTTGGTGTTGGTGTGTGAATACTTCGCATTGTGGCAATATATCATCACCCAAAGCGTCCAGGATATTTGTAAAGAAATTGGTAGTGGAATACGGAAATGAGACGTCGCCATTGCCGCTGTGTTTGCTTTCGTTGCTGCCACAACTACTACTACCCTTGAAGCTGACTGCTTCATCGTGGCCATTGTGAGTGTCATTGCGTTTGCGCGAGGTACTCAGCGATTTGGTTTTATTTTTGGAACTTTTACTTTTTATTATGTCTGTGTGGCTTTTTATTGTTGAAGCCTTGTTAGGCGGTGGCTGCTGAGTGACTGTTGCTACAGTCGCATGTATTCCGTGGCCGTCGTAAGTTTCATCCGGCAGCAACATATCATTTTGATTGCGAAGTTTACCGCAACGCTTAAACTATTGGCATCTAGGGAAGAATAGTAAACAAAAAAATCGCATTAAGGGATTATGACTTTTTATAGAAATTTAGAAATTTGAAAAAAATTTCTAGTGAGAACCTTCTAGTTCCAGATGTAAGTTCAGAAAGAAGCGCCCCAAACAAGGCGTAATAGACTTTACCACTTTGTCCGTTGAGATACCCCTGAAGAGCTCAAAATTTACAAAACAGTGATAGTAACCACAGACGACAATTTTTATGGTTTCGAAATAGGGAGGTTTCTCACATTTGGCTTAGTTTTGAACAGGCAACCGAACACGAATACATGCACGAAGGGGGCCTGGTACGATACGTCGAAACTAAAAACACCGAAAAATAGGTAGTAAATTAAGATTGCCGAGAAAAAAATTGTCGAAAACAAAAATTTCGAAAACAAAAATGTCGTGTGTGTTTTACACATACATCATTCATTAACTTATTTAAACAGGTTGATTTATTTAATTTAAATTCCACTAATCCTATGTATGTACTAATATTATAAATGTGAAAGTTTGTGAGTGAGTATGTTTGTTGCTCTTTCACGCTAAAACGTCTAGATATATTTCAATTAAATTTTGAATACAGGTAGTTTATATCCTGGCTTGACATATAAAATATTTGTTTGAAAAGAATTGCCACCTCTTTCAGAAGTTGAAATCGATTAATTTACAAGTTAAACAAAATATTACAGCAATGTGGGTGTCAAACGAAAGCGGTTCCAAACCCATATATGTACTGCGAAAGTATTTTTAAGAGGGTTGCCACCTGTTAGAAAAGTAAAAGTCAATTAATTGATAACTAAATATACTTTAAGACGGTTGCTATCTGTTTAAAAAAGTTCAAATCAATTATATTGAAAAGTTTAAACGAAATATTTTAATGTGGGTATCAAACGAGATAGGCAAAATGCTTTATTGTAGAAATACTATTTAGAGGGTTGCCATTTTTTCAAAAAGTAAAAATAAATTTAAATAACACTGAATAAATATTATAATATGTGGGTGAAACGAGTGAGGCTTAAGAAAGCTTTATTTCGAAAATATTTTTGAATAGGCTCGTCGATCTCTGGGTAGAATTCTACCTAAAATGCTACATTAAAATACAATCTACAAAAAGAAGTTTATATTCAAGCCGAAATGTCTATCTATTTATTCTTTGCAAGCTAAATTAAATATACCAATGGGATTTTGACATAAAAAATTAGGTGTACACAGTTTTCCCAAACTGGTTTCACCGGTTTTTTGAAATCTCTGTGCGGTTTTTTTGAAATCTTGATTTTTCGAATATCGATAAACCGGATTTTTTGATCGAACAATGCGGCTTTTTTCCTTTTCTGTTACATTGAAAGTGGGTAAAAGCTAGTATTTAATAGTTTGATAATTAAAGAGATAACTTAATAATTCTCTTGGTACTAACATTTAAAAATTCTTACTATACTGAAAAAACTAACATATTTAAAAGATCATAAAAAGTAAGGAAACTTACAATATTCGGAATAAAATAGAAGAAAGACATAAATAATTTTTATTTTTCAAAAATTTAACCTTTGTCAGTTTTTCGAAAAAAAGTTATTTCGGCGTAATTTTGCATAACTTTCTTTTTCCTTCTTAGGAACTCTAGAACTTTTGAAAAGCTACTCAGAACACTTTTAATTTTAATTTTTTTTTTTTGCAACAAGCAACTTTTTCGACTTTTTTTCGACGTTTTGGATTTTTTTCGACATTTCCCATTTCGAAAGGATACGATTTCGACATTTTCCGTTTCGGTAAAACATTATTTCGAAACTTAAAAAATTTTTAAATTTCGAAATTTTTATTTTTGTCTTATCTTACGAATCCCGCACGAAGGCGAATACGGAGATGAAGACGTAGACTAACAGTAGGACGAATACGAATATGATCACGAATGCCATGACCCAGACGAATACGACAACTAAATAACACGCATACGAAGATGAAGACAAATGCGAATGTGAAAGTGAAGAGTAGTACAAACAGTAATACGCAGGCAGATGAATACGAATACGACGACAAATTCTTATTTGAAGACTATGCCTAAGGACTAGGTTAATATTGAGTTTGCCTCTCCAATGAAAGTACATACATATATGCTTAACTCAGTATGTCCAGGATACCTTCGTCGCCCGGACAGTAACAGGGGCATAGTTGGCAAACCGACTGCGAGATTCCACCCATTCAGTACATGTAACTTGAACTTTTGTGTGTAGTTAGATCTCTGTGTCTATAATCCTGAGGGTGGAAGGGTATATAAGCTTCTCTGTTCTCTATATTGTCCCCTCAGATGAGCCTTGCTGCAAACAGAAGAGCCTCTTGCTTGATTACAATGTGTACGGGAGGCAGGTCAGGAAGGACCTCGAGAGCTGCGGAGCATGCAAGCTAGTCGTTGTTGCTTACTGAGCTTGGCCTGCGTGGATTTCACTTCTGCCTTCTTCCACCAGACGGGTGGTCTCTTGAATAGTTTTATCATGGATAACTCCTGCATATTTGATACCTTTGGAGAAGTGTATCTTTTCACTTTGAAGGAATGGTTCTAGTAATTTTTCCTTTTTCCGTTTCCTGTTATTGCACCAATTGGGCTATGTTAAGATCATTTTATGGAAGGTTGAAGATGGTGTCTTCAAACCTACCTCTGATTAGGATGAGAATGCCATCCGTACAGCCCTGAATGTAGAAGCCATTTTCACTAAGAAGGCAGAGTAGTTCATCAACTGCAATGGACCATAGCAGAGGGGAGGTAAATCCCCCTCTTCCGGGCAACGCTCATCGCTTAGAAGCTAAGAATCAGACTCTTTCCTGTCGTCCTAGAATGGATGTGATGGTTCTGAATTTAAGGACGTTTGCATGAGGTGCCATCAACCCCTATAGGGGACCGTCACTTCCTGTCATTGTCGATCGACCTAACTACTTACTGCATTTAAAAGAGTTCCACACTCTTTGAAAAGTCTCGATATTATTGTCTGTTATACCAAGGCCTTAATGGCCGCCTGGATATCCGAGAAAATGCCTACATATTAATGGTGGTGTAAACCGCTGCCTTCTAAAATACGGCACCCTTCAGATATCGCGGATACTTCCGCCGGAAAAACACTTGCAAAATCCGACAAATGGATTCATTTTCTTTATAACAGGAATTCAGAGATAACACCTGCTCCATCTCCGCGTTACATTTTGGAGCCATCGGTGTGCGGACGTTGTCGCCATCTCAGCTGCCTCTTGATGGGAGAATGACGCCGAAATGCCTTTGAAATTCTACTTCAGGTCGTATGCAATCGGAAGCCAGTCTCATCTTCGGTCACAGTGCACAAATTAGACTACGTATACACGATCGTTCTCTCTTTCCATAAACCTAGTTCACTGAGTCTTATAGTAGATATTGTTTGTAGTTTGGTAATAACCTTGAGGGCATCCGCAGTGCAAGTTCTCATTTCCACTGTAGTCCTTATGCAGGCGGCCCTCTGAACTTTGTCTAATTTTGCATGATTACTTGAAATTTACATGATGAAACCGTAGCATAAGATCGGACATACAACCGCTGTGTACATCCGAAGTACAACTTTTGGATTAATAGCCAAAAAGCCGCTTACAGGGTTAATAGGCAAAGCTTGCTTTCTTTACCCTTTCGTCAATATTTATTTTCCAACTCAGCTTAGAATTCAGATACTTCGCCTGCTTAGATAATTGTAGGCTTTGGCCATTCAGCTTTGGTATAACAAAGCTAGGGACCTTATTCCTCTCCATGAAAAGCATTAGTTCGGTTTGGTCGGTGTTTGGTTGGCGAAAATCCTTCTAGATATATCCTCCAAGTGGGTGCCGACTGGGCAATAGGCGTCGCTGCTTGCACCGCTGCGGCAAGGTTGGCTCCAATGACGCTGTGGTGCAAGCACGCGGGGCCTAGCTAAGGCCTTGGTATAAACTCTCCTGCCTCTTCTAGCGGCTCGACTAAGAGAGGCTCGGGGGCTATTTCTAGGGGGTACCTGGCGGTAGGTATAAAACGCCCCCCTAATCCAGGGTGTCATGCGTCACCGTGCCCATTGGATGGTTGGCAGTCAGGGGGCTTTCCGACTCTATTTTAACGGNGTATAAAACGCCCCCCTAATCCAGGGTGTCATGCGTCACCATGCCCATTGGATGGTTGGCAGTCAGGGGGCTTTCCGACTCTATTTTAACGGCTCCTCCCGGATACCTATCCGCCTCCGGGAGTAACGGTGGACTTACCGCAGCACGGGGCTCTGCTGTGGCCGACCGTTCTTTCCCCGTACCTTTTATATTCGGTCGCCGAACAGTGATTATGATTAATAATAATGAAGACTCGGATCCCTGCACGGGTAAAAGTACCGCCGACTGACACGGGGTTAAAAACAATCTAGAAAATTCTTCGGTAGCATCGGTCCTGAAGAAGCCTTCACGGTCATTTAAAACGGATGTCTGGGATGCTAACGGGGCCTACCCGGTACACGATAGATCTCTCGTGCCAGGCGTCCTCATCGAGAGCGGCTAGGAGCACACCCCTTACTCTATGACCATATTACTCCGCCCATCCGCCTAGATCCGCCAGCGAACCCTTTAATTTTGTAAGGGAAGCCAAGCAAGTTGAATAACCGCAACCGACAGAGGAAATAACTTTCGAAAATTTCACATAACTAGCGCCAATTCAACGTCTTTTCACTGGTAATAATGAATAAGTAATATTATTCCCATTAGAAGTGAAATTAATGGGCACTCGCAGGTGTGGTCCCGCCAGTCGTGAAAATTTATTAACTTGTGCCGACATAAAACTGCAAGCGGCACATTTGTACGACACTTTTAGTGCATATAAGTTGCATACATACATACATACATACATACACAATATTTCCACGGTAGAAGTCTCAGACTGAGTGCAACTACCACGCCTGCAACAAAAACAGTAATCGACACATTTTCCAACTACTACTACTACTACTACTAACTACTCCAACACGCCCAC